GAGGATGGCTTGAGTCCAGGAGATTGAGGCTGCAGTTAGCCATGATTACACCACTGCACTCCAGCCTGGGAAACAGAGTGAGACCCTGTTTAAAATATATATATATATATAAAATATATATATTTTATATATATAATATATATAATATATATAATATATATGTAGTATGTATATGGAAAGGTTAAAAAAAAGACAAGGATGAAACTTGTGCTTTTAAAGCGGAATTTAAAATAAACTATTTTCCCCCAGTTTATGTAGACAGATAAAGAAATAAACAGACATAAATATGTTTATGTGTGTGTATAAATGTGTGCCCACAGAGTGGACCCTGGTATAGAATGACCCTAATTGCATTGAATGTGCCTACCACGGAGATCCTGGTTTCTAAATACTATTCCTCCTTAAAAAGAAACCAAGTATTCTTGAAGAAATGGCAAACTCAGCGCCACGACAGGGAGAAACAAGATGAGCCTGAAATATCTTGTTGAGCCAGAAAGAAAGGAAGTGATTAAAGAATGACGGGGTTTGTCAAGATGACAAGAGGTCAGCAAGGGGCATCCACTGATCAAATCTGGGACAATTTGAGCATCAAAATAAATGACAGGAAAAAGCCAGTCATGGTGGCTCATGACTGTAGTCCCAGCTACTTGAGATGCTGAGAAGGGAGGATCGCTTGAGCCTGGGAGGTCGAGGCTGCTGTGAGCTATGATTGCGCCACTACACTCCAGCCTGGGTGACAGAGTGAGACCCTGTCTCAAAAAAAGAAAAAAAAAAAAAAAAAAAAGGCATGGTTTGGTCTTGCTTTTTCTGTTTTTTTTTTTTTTTTTTTTTTTTTTTTTTTTTTGAGCTGGAGTCTGTTTGTCGCCCAGGCTGGAGTGCAGTGGCGCAATCTCGGCTTATTGCAACCTCCGCCTCCTGGGTTCAAGCGATTCTCCTGCCTCGGCCTCTTGAGTAGCTGGGATTACAGGCGCCTGCCACCATGCCCAACTAATTTTTTGTAGCTTTTTTTTTTTTTTGAGACAGAATCTCACTCTATTGCCCAGCCTTGAGTGCAGTGGTGGCACCATCTCGGCTCACTGCAACCTCCGCCTCTCGGGTTCAAGCGATTCTCCTGCCTCAGGCACTCAGGCACCTGAGTAGCTGGGGTTACAGTTGCGTGCCACCATGCTTGGCTACTTTTAAAAATTTGTAGTAGAGATGGGGTTTTACCGTGTTGGCCAGGCTGGTCTCGAACTCCTGACCTCGTCATCTGCCCGCCTCGGCCTCCCAAAGTGTTGGGATTACAGGCGTGAACCACCGCACCCAGCCAAAAAAAGCATCTTAATGAAGTGACGGACATCTTAATGAAGTGATGGCTCCAACGGACATTTGGCTACAGTGAGAACATAGCATCAGTTTTGTGGTATTTCTGTCCAAAATGTGTCAGTCATGGTGGTCTCATTGTCAGGAAGAAGTGGACAAACCAAAATGGAAGGACAGTCTACAAAATCACTTCCCTGTAATCTCCTAAAATATCAAGGTCATGAAACTCAAAGGCTGCAAATTGTTCTAGATTGAGGAAGAATAAAGACGTGACAACTAGGTACAGGGTTTCACAACTTACCAGTTTTTTTTTTTTTTTTTTTTTTTTCTGAGACGGAGTCTCGCTCTGTCACTCAGTCTTGCTGTGTCACCCAGACTGGAGTGCAGTACAATCTCGGCTTACTGCAACCTCCACCTCCCGGGTTCAAGCGATTCTCCTGCCTCAGCCTACTGAATAGCTGGGATTACAGACGCGCACCATCACGCCCAGCTAATTTTTGTACTTTTAGTAGAGACAAGGTTTCACCATGTTGGCCAGGCTGGTCTTGAACTCCTGACCTCGTGATCTGCCCACTGTGGCCTCCCAAAGTGCTGGGATTACAGGTTTGAGCCACAGCGCCTGGCCAGTTTGTGGTGTGGTTTTTTTTTTTTTTTTTTTTTTTTTCACCTTAAAGGTTAAAATTTTTTGGACATTGGAGAGCAGTTTTAAATTTGTTTTCGTTGTTGTTTTTGTTTTGAGACAAGAGTCTTGCTCTGTCGCCCAGGCTGGAGTGCAGTGGCCGGATCTCAGCTCACTGCAAGCTCCGTCTCCCGGGTTTACACCATTCTCCTGCCTCAGCCTCCTGAGTAGCCGGGACTACAGGCACCCGCCACCTCGCCCGGCTAGTGTTTTTGTATTTTTTATTAGAGACGGGGTTTCACTGTGTTAGCCAGGATGGTCTTGATCTCCTGACCTCGTGATCTGCCCGTCTCAGCCTCCCAAAGTGCTGGGATTACAGGCTTGAGCCACCGCGCCCAGCCTGGTGCACCTCTCTTTAGGCAACTTGCTAGTCCCCTGCTCCTGGGAGGTCACCAAATTGGTGGTGAACTTAGTGCAAGTACAGTTACCTGCACTACAGGCATACTGCACTACAACCCGGAACTCCTGGGCTCCAGTGATCCTCCTGCTTCAGCCTCCCGAGTAGCTGGGACTACAGCCACCGCACCCAATGACATTTACTGGTTGGAGCTGGGTTGAGGAACTAATCCCTAATATGTAACTTTGCTGAAAAGTCCTTTGCTGAAATGGAGATTTCTTTTTACACATTTATTAATATGTTGTTGGTATACTCTGGGTACTTGTGGAGGTGGTGGTCACCTCAAGGTTGGTGGGGGGTACTGAGACCCCTGAGGGCACAGCAGACCTACCCATGCTCTTGGATCAGAATGCTGGGAATATTAGAGGTAGTATTCAAGCATGTTAGGAGGGCCGGGTGCGTTGGGAGGCTGACACTGGAAGTCAGGAGTTCAAGACCAGCCTGGGCACCATAGAGAGACCCCATGTCTACAAAACATTTTAAAAACAATTGCTGGGCATGGTGGTGAATGCCTATAGTACCAGCTACTCGGAAGACTGAGGAGGGAGGATCTGTTGAGCCCAGGAGTTTGAGGCTGCAGTGAGCTATGACTGTGCCACTGCACTCCAGCCTGGGTGACACACTGAGTCTAAGAACAAAAAATGTGGACTGGGCATGTGGGTCACGCTTGTAATCCCAGCACTTTGGGAGTTTGAGGCAGGCAGATCACATGAGGTCAGGAGTTTGAGACCAGCCTGGCCAACATGGCAAAACCCCATCTCTCCTAAAAAAAAAAATCAAAATTATCTGGGTGTGGTGGCAGGCACCTGTAGTCCCAGCTACTTGGGAGACTGAGGCAGAAGAATCGTTTGAACTGGGAGGTGGAGGTTACAACCAGCTCAGATTTCACCACCGCACTCCAGCCTGGGTGACAGAGTGAAAGTCCATCTCAACAACAACAACAACAACAAAAAATGTGGCTGGGCGCGGTGGCTCACTGCCTGGGTGACAGAGCAAGACTCTTGTCTCAAAAGGTCAATCAATCAATCAATAAATAAAATCTGAGGAGGAATTTGCCAGGAATACACTTTTTTCCTTCTGTTTTTCTGCAGGGGTAAGGTTATATTTATATGTGTGGATGAAGCCATTCAAGGTACAAAGCTAACCCTTCAGGATGGGGGCTGAGGTACCTTATGTCTCTCAGCTTTGGAGACATGATGCCTTCTTCCCTCCTCTCCTTCCCACTCTCTCTGTATGAGACAAGGTCTTGCTCTGTTGCCTAGGCTGGAGTGCAGTGGTGTGATCCTATGGCTCACTGTGGCCTTGAACTGGGCTCAATAGATCCTCCTGCCTCGGCCTCCCTGAGTGCTGGGATGCCAGGCATGAGCCGCCGTGCCTGGCTCTGCCCCTCCTTTCACAAGATTAGAGCACCCTCTTGTGGTGAAGGGAGGAAGAGGGTTGAGTGTGCTCTGGGCCTGGCGGAAGGTTTCTAGGGTGCAGCAGGGCCTCCTCCTCGGCCTGATGGGGGTGGGGCCTGCCAGGGAGGGCCTTGCTGGGAAGGGAGGGCAAAGGGCCATGTCTTTCGCTTGCCCCACCCGACTGCCAAGAGTCCCAGTCACCAGGCCACCCTGAGTCCCGGCCCTTGAGGGTGTTCTGAACACAGCTGCCTCGTCCTTCCCTGATGACTGGGTGAGAATTCTTTGCTCCTTGGGGGTCCAAATACCCTGCCCACACTGCTTGCACTGAGGCAGGCAGTGGCCACAGCAGCCACCTCCTTTTCCTTTCCATAGGTCCACAAGACTGGGGCAGAAGCAGGGGCAGGTACACAGCACCTCAGCCCCCTCCCCACCTGACAGCAGCATCAAAGCCGAGGCCAAGGCGGGAGGGCCCAGAGTGGGACACCTCTTCCAGACAAGCCTTGGTCGCCGCCTCCTCCTCTGTCACCCTGCGACACAGCCCAGAGTACCAGGCGGCTGGAGCACTGGGGGACACCAGGACAGAACCTTCCCTGGACCAAGTCCTCCAGGAGCGGGATGAAGCCATTGCCAAGTAAGGGGAAGCTGCTTTTGGGGGCCAGGAGGGGATTTGGGGCTCCCCTGCAGGGCCTTGTCCTGCTAATGGAGGAGCGGGGGGCTAGTCAGGCATTCTGGAAAGAAAGCCACACAAGCAGCCGCCCTGTCACTGAGGCCGGGGCTGTGGCCACACTTGTCCACCCCCAGGACCCCATAACCAGACCCACAGGGTCCGAGCCTCAGCTACTCTCTTTGCCACCCACAGGAAGCAGGCAGTGGAGGCAGAGCTGCAGAGGTGCGAAGCCAGGCTACGCACCATGGAGGCCCAGCTGCTGGAGGTCCTGGAGGAGAAACTGAGGCTGAGGCGGGAGCTGGAGGCCTGGGAGGTAGGCGGAATGCCGTCAGGGCCTGGGAGGTGTGGGGAAGAGGGCACAGGCTCAGCCTTGAACCTGCTCTCCTGTCCACAGGAGGACGTGCAGCAGCTGGTATGGCAGCAGGTCCAGCATCAGCTGCAGAGAGAGACTGAGGGTACTCGGGGACACCACATGGACCCTGGAGCTGCCAGGACCCCCCGGTCCAGATTCTTCCTGGGTCGGGGACATTGGTGGTGACACAGACCTCAGCCCAGGACTTGGAGAGTAATGTCTTTATTCATTAAAGCCTGAGGTCTGACCACTCCTGTAAAACCTCGTGCCCACTCAGTGCCCGTCTGAGTCCTTCTGTGCCCAAATGTGGAGCAGGCTGCAGGGACTGGAAGCCTGGGTTTTGTGCCTCCTGTTTGTTTTGTTTTGTCTTTTTTGAGACAGAGTCTTGCTCTGTTGCCCAGGCTGGAGTGCAGTGGTGTGATCTCGGCTCACTGCAACCTCCGCCTCCTGGGTTCAAGTGATTCTCCTGCCTCAGCCTCCTGAGTAGCTGGGATTACAGGCGTGCACCACCACGTCAGGCTAATTTTTGTACTTTTAGTAGAGATGGGGTTTCACCATGTTGGCCAGGCTACTCTCGAACTCCTGATGTCAAGTGATCCTCCCACCTCAGCCTCCCAAAGTGCTGGAATTACAGGCATGAGCCACTGCGCCCAGCCCCCTTCTTGCCAGCAACTCTTAGACCAAGAAGCCTCGGATGGCATCTATGAAGTCCTGTGGGCGTTCAGCGTGGATCCAGTGGCCAGCGTTCGGCACCGTCTGTATCTGGGCCCGAGGGAACAGCCGTATAATCTCAGGGTGGTGGCTGGGACTGTGCATTGCAGTGATGGCCGTCGAAAATGGGTGAAAGTGGGATAAGGAGGAGTGAAAGAGACAAGTGTAAGCAGAGTGGGGAGAAACGGAGAGAGCTGCATAAGTCCACATGCCCAGTGGTATTTCTGGCCTCTCAGCCACCCACCTTCCACACCCAAGGCCTTCCCTGGTAGGGTCCCCAGGCTAGGGCCTGGGCGAGTAAAGCATGCCCCTCCCACTACCCAAGCTGGCTTACTGCACGAATTGGGAGTTTCCACCGAGGAGAAAGAGTGTTGGTCCGAGGTAGGACTCCTGCCTCTGTGGGAAAGTCAAGAGCTTGTCTAGGTGCTGGGCCAGGGCATCCAAGTTCAACCTCCACGCGAGACGCCCGTCTACCTCTACCAGGTTGGTGAGCAGGTACTGCCGTACGGCCAGGTTCTGTGGAAGTGCAGCAGTTGGGGGGGTTCCTTGTGCGGACTGGGGGTACCACTCTTCCCTTGACAGGTCCCGGTCTACAATAGCATCCGGGGGGCTTGGGTGTATCACCTGGACGACAGAACTGAGCTGTTCATCTGCCAGTTTCCGGGCATGGGAGCGGGGCAGCCCATCTGGGATGTTGACGGTCCTCATGGCTGCCACATAGGCAGGAAAGTGGGAGGAACCTGTGCCTTCCACTGGGCTGATATCTACAGCAATCAGACGTTCCACCAGCTCTGGCTGTGGGAGAGAACAGAATTGGGACCAGTCTTAGGCAGACACAGTGAGTCTCAGGCACGGCTCCTGGAGCCTGAATGTGGTCATCCAAGGATCATTTGAGTCCCAGGTTGCCTGCGGGGCACTCAGGGTATATACTGAATGGGAGGAGGCCCCAGACAGGGGTGGCTCACCCTCTGTAGTGCCAGCAGCATGGCTGTCCTCCCTCCCATGCTGTGGCCAACGACGACACAGGGCACCAGGTCCAGCTGGGGCAGGAGGTCCTGCAGGTCCTGGCTCATGATCTCGTAGCTCATGTCTGGGCTGTGGGGGCTGTTACCGTGGTTACGAGCATCCACCGTCAGCACCTGGGGAGTGGGGTGAGACAGAGCTGCGCTGGTATCCCCATTCTAGGGTAGACAGCCAAAGGCCTTGTAGGGACAGCAGGTCAAGGGTGTGGAGAGCCTGGGGATACACCCTGCAGAGGGGAAGGGCCCAGATGGTGGGAGGGCCCAGTTTCCAGACCTAGAAGGCCCAGATGAAGAACCTGGGGCCACTCTGCCAGAGAAGAGCAGGCCCCAGGGTTGTGACCACGTCTCTGAAGGGCTGGCCAGGCTGGGGGGTAATCCCGGAGAATGCCAGGAACGAGACTCCAGGAATTTCCAACAGTAGGAGCACAGAAGAACGGGCTGCCATAAGAGGTGGTGAGCTCCAGGTCATCCCTAGGAAACAAGCAGGCCCCTTCATGGAAAGGGTGCAGGCGCCTAGTCATTGGCCAGCGCCGATTGAGATCTACAACATGAATTAATGAAGACGGCAACGTGAGGGAACAAACGGGGTTGCCGTTCAGGGTCCATACTCAGCGTGAGGAGCGGGACCCCGAGAAGCGGGACGCCCCAGCCCCGCCTCCTCCCAGGCCCCGCCCACTCGGAAGCGCACCCTACGTCCTGTCTGCTGGGCGAAGGCCTTGGCGATGGAGTTGAAGTTAGTTTTGCAGCCGAAGAGCCCGTGCAGAAAAATGACGGCCGGGAGGGCTGCCTCCCCGTCCAGAAGGCTGTAGGAAAGCGGAAGCGGCCTGGCAGGGGAAGGATCCGCGTTAGGGTCTGAACCGGTGGAGGCGGGGAAAGGGGTAGGGGAAAGGGCTTTGGGGGAGAGGCCTGGGAGGCGACGGGGAGGATATGGGGCCGTCGGGGCCCGGCAGGAAAAGGAGGACAGGGCGCCTCCCGCCCGGTGCCCCTGACTGACCTCGGCTCGGCCTCTCCTCGGCCGCCGCTGCTGCTGGGTGCGACAGGCACCCTCGCGAAGCTAGGACTGTGCGGGCCGAGCCCCTCAAGGGGGAGCCTCCAGGCTCGGGTACAGCGGAGCATGCTTGCAAGCACGTTGTCCGGCTCGCACCTCGCAAGGAACGGCCTACCCACGCTCCTTCTTCCGCTCTCGCTCGGAGCCCCGCCCAGTTCCGTCTTGAGCCCCGCCCAGTTCCGACTTGAGCCACGCCCTCTCCCCGCCCCCATCGCGGATTCTCCGCCCTCGGTCACGTTTCCTTACGTAATCCCCGAGAACGGTCCGGCCCCGCCTCCATCCCGGCCCCTTACGCCATTACGTAATCCCCGCAGGCCTTGCGCCGGTCGCCCTGAGCGCCGCACCTGGCCACGCCCTAGGCAGGGCCACCCAAGGCGTTTGCCCCGCCCCTCGCGAAGCCCCGCCCAGCATAGAATCCGCGCGAGGAGTCGGGACCCTACCGCCCTAAGGTCTGGGAATTCGGTCTGCGCCGCTCTGCGCGTGCTCGGTTCTGTGCTGCAGCTTGGGCCTCGGTTCCCGCCCCGCACCTGTCGTCGCTCACTGACCTGGGTGGCTGCCATCGTTTCTGTGCCGCCGGCGGGGGCGAGTGGCGCCAGTGTGGCTCTGGGCGGCGGAGCGCCAGTGTGGTGGCGCCGTGCTCCACTGCTGGGGGCCGGGGCAGGCTGGGCGGAGCACAGGCACCCATCCATTCTGGAGTCGTCGATCTAGAAGGAGCTCGGGGGCACTCTAGAGCTCTCCCCCAAGCCCCTCTGTCCCCTTTACATTTGGGGGAGCCTCTCCCACTCTGATCCCGCCTGCTTTTCCGCCCGTACTCTCCGTTCTCATACTCCCCTATCGGGCACCCTGCCTTTCAAGGTCTTCTCCATACCCCACCTCCTCCTGCTGGGGTGCTGTCTGTCTTCCAGATAGCCAGTTGCCCGAGTCCTATACTTTTTTTTTGGTGGGGGGTCTTACCCTCGCCCAGGCCGGAGTGCAGTGACACGACCGTAGCTCACTGCAGCCTCGACCTCCTGGGCTCAAACGATCCTCCCGCCTTTTCCTCCCGAGAATCTGGGACTACAGGCGCAGACTAATTTTAACTTTTTTTTTTCTTTCTTTCAGAATCATGGTTAAAAATTTTTTTTTAGGCTGGGCGTGGTGGCTCACGCCTGTAATCCCAGCACTTTGGGAGGCTGAGGCGGGTGGATCACCTGAGGCCAGGAGTTCAAGACCACCCTGGCCAACATGGCGAAACCCCGTCTCTACTAAAAATACATAAATTAGCTGGGCATGGTGGCAGGTGCCTGTAATCTCAGCTACTCGGGAGGCTGTGGCAGGAGAATCGCTTGAACTCAGGAGGCGGAGGTTGCAGTGGGCTGAAATTGCGCCACTGCACGCCAGCCTCGGGAATGGAGACAGACTCCGTTTCAAAAAAAAAAAAAAATTGCCAGGCCTGGTGGCACGGCCCTGTAAGTTCCAGCTACTTGGGAGGGTAAGGCAGGAGAATCCTGTGAACTTGGGAGATGGAGGTTGCAGTGAGCCAAGATCTTGCCACTGCATTCCAGCTTCTGTAACAGAGCGAGACTCCATCTCAAAAAAAAAAATTTTTTTTTAAAATAGAACCAGGGTCTTGGCTATGTTGCCCAGGCTGGTCTCGAACTCTTGAGCTCAAAGTGCTGAGATTACAGGCATGAGCCACCACACCTGGCCCAACAAAATTTTTTTTAGAGAAGGGTCTTGCTACCTTGCTCAAGCTGGTCTCCAGCTCCTGGCCTCAAGCAACCCTCCCATCTCAGGTATATGGCTTTTATTTTATTTTTTCTGAGACAGGGTTTCACTGCGTCACCCCAGGCTGGAGTACAGTGGCACAATCATGGCTCACTGCAACCTCTTCCTCCCGGGCCCAAGCAATCTTCCTGCCTCAGCCTCCCGAATATCTTGGGACCACAGATGTGTACCATCATGTCTGGCTAATTTTTTTCTGTTTTGTAGAGATAGGGTCTTGCTATGTTCTAGGCATAGCAAGGGGACAGTTTCAGGCTGGTCTGGAACTCCTTGACTCAAGTGATCCTCCCGCCTCAGCCCCCTGAGCAGATGGAACTACAGGTGTGCGCCACCATGCCTGGCCTCGGCTATAAGCTTTTTTGTTTTTGTTTTTTTGTTTGTTTGTTTGTTTGTTTTTTTGAGATGGAGTCTCGCTCTGTCGCCCAGGCTGGAGTATAGTGGCCAGATCTCGGCTCACTACAAGCTCCGCCTCCCGGGTTCAGGCCATTCTCCTGCCTCAGCCTCCTGAGTAGCTGGGACTACAGGCGCCCGCCACCACGCCCAGCTAATTTTTTTGTATTTTTAGTAGAGACGGGGTTTCATCGTGTTAGCCAGGATGGTCTCGATCTCCTGACCTCGTGATCCACCCGTCTCGGCCTCCCAGCTGGGATTACAGGCTTGAGTCACTGCACCTGGCCAGCTATAGGCCTTTTAAGGCCTTGTATAACTGCTGCCTCCTCAAGCCTTCCCAGATTTTCTGAGTTAAAACTAATCTCTTTGATCGAACGTTCTCGAAGCATTTCTCAGAGGCTACTGTGTAGTATTATAGAGGCGGCCCTCCCTGTGTGCGTCCACAGCAGGAGCCATGTCTTGTTCATCTGGTGCAAAGTAGTGATAGTCATCGAGAGCTTCAGGGCGCTGGGAAATGCTTATGTGAAAGTTCTGCAGGTGGCTGGGTTAGTGGCTCTCCTGGAGATGACACCTGGGCCAGCTAGTCTTATACTGGCCCCTCCCCCACCTCCTTAGGGCGGTCCAGGACCCATAGGATGAGTCCTAACTCTTTTTTAAATAATTAATTAATTTATTATTATTATTATTTGAGACGGAGTTTCGCTCTTGTTGCCCAGGCTGGAGTGCGGTGGTGTGATCTCGGCTCACTGCAACCTCCACCTCCTGGGTTCAAGTGATTCTCCTGCCTCAGCCTCCCAAGTAGCTAGGATTACAGGCATGCGCCACTATGCCCGGCTAATTTTGTATTTTTAGTAGAGACTGAGTTTCTCCACGTTGGTCAGGCTGGTCTCAAACTCCCGACCTCGGGTGATCCACCCACCTCAGCCTCCCAAAGTGCTGGGATTACAGGCATGAGCCACTGCGCCTGGCCATTACTTTTTTTTTTGAGACAGGGTCTGGCTCTGTCGCCCAGGCTGGAACCCGGCTCACTGCAACCTCCGCCTTCCGGGTTCAAGCAATTCTCATGCCTCAGCCTCCTGAGTAGCTGGGACTACAGGCGTGTACCACCACACCCGGCTGATTTTTACTGGTTTTCGTAGAGATGGGGTTTCACCATGTTGGCCGAGCTGAGGATGTGTCCTAACTCTGTAAAGCTCCATCTCCTGCCTAATGGGACTCTTAGGTGTTTGGTTCTAATCTGAGGAGGGCTGAGGTCACCGGGGACTCTAAGCACACCAGGTGGTGCGATCATTTGTTTCTCGCATAGTAATTAGGGGAGTGATGAGGACATCTGAGCCCTGGATGGGGGCTGGTCCCAGGCCTGGGAGGGGTCCTTGGAGGGTGTTTGTCTAGAGTTGGTGGATGAGGGGCATGAGGGTTGAAGATTCAGAACAATAGTATTTCAAAGGTGCTTTTTGTTTGTTTGTTTGTTTTGAGACAGAGTCTCTCTCTGTTGCCCAGGCTGGAGTGTAGTGGGACAATCTCAGCGCACTGCAACCTCCACCGGGTTCAAGCGATTCTCTTTCTCAGCCTCCCAAGTAGCTGGGATTGCATGTGTGCACCACCACGCCCAGCTAATTTTTGTATTTTTAGCAGAGACTGGGTTTCACCGTGTTGGGCAGGCTGGTCTTGAACTCCTGACCTCAGGTGATCCTCCCGCCTCGACCTCCCAAAGTGCTGGGATTACAGGAGTGAGCCGCTGTGCCTGGCCTCAGAGGTGCTTTCAAACTGCTCCCTGCCACACACCCCACAATCCACAAGGTCATCTCAGCCTGGCGCAAGAGCCCCATATCTAGGGGCTGAAGCAGCCTTGAGATATTTACTCAGAGTCCGGGGCCCCAGCCCTGATCAGGTGGCTGGTGAAGGCAAGCAGAAAAACCAGTTGGTTTGATGTTTCTACTTGAACGTTCCAGAGAAAGAGGTGGGCTTAGGGGAGGCGTCGTTGCTACCTGGCCAGGAAGCTTGCTGTCGGTTGGCGAAGGCCTCCTTCTAGGGGAGGCCAGAGGGGAGGCCTTCCGGAGCCCCTGACCTGCGGAGGTGAAGGTGGGAGGTGAAATGGACTATTGCTCTTTGGAGGTCGAGTCTACACCGCCCCATCCATGTTCCCAGCCTTCCTGTGAAGTGGGAGGGTGCCGTCCTTATTTTGCTGATGAGGAAAGAGAGGCTTGGATGGCGAAGTAACCCAGCTCCAAGTCACTCAGCCAGGGCACGGCCCGGATTCTTTCCTTCACTGACTCCTAACTCAGTGCTCCGTGTATTTCGTCACCACCCTTCAGGCTGTGGGGACCAAGGGCCGAAGGGGTGCGGCCTGAGGTGGCCGGGACACTGCACCTAGGTGGCGGTGGCATTGAATGGGTTAAGGAGGGGAGGTGGCGGGTGTCCCTTAACTGCACCTGGCCCAGTATCGGTCACGTGGCCAGGGTTTCACCTGCCCCGCTGAGCAGGGACAATCGGGCTGCTTGTTTTGTGGCCGGTCGCCATGGTGACAGCAGCGTGCCAGAGGAGGTCATGGGGCAAATTCCTGCTGGCCGGGCCAGGTGGGGCAGGAGTGTCAGCTGTGCTGGCACCAGTTGGGGTTTCCCGGAAGACCCCTGGAGCTTTCCTGTGGGGCTGTCCCCAGTGGGCTCCTATGTGACTCCCCTCAAAACCTCCTCCCATCTCAACCCCCACATCAGCCCAGCTTCTCTCCTCCCAGATTTTGAACCTAAGTCGATGTGTTAAGCAGCCGGGATTTTCATATACATTATCTTGTTTAATCTGCACAGCAACCTTTCCCACGTGGGAATGGTAATCCCTGAGGGTCTGTTGCCGGGTGCGCCTCCCCTACGACTCACCCAACACTTTGAGAACACCGGCTCCTTCCTGCCTTGCTTCAACAAGCCCAGATCCATCAGAGCCTCTCAATGCGCACCAAGCACCTTCGTAGACACAGCCGTGAACAAAACAACAAATCAATCAATCTCACAACAAAGGATTGTGTCTGAGTATTTATTTTCTTCGGAGCAGGTTAGGTTGGCCCCAGCCATCCAGAGAAGGTGGGGACGGCACAGGATCAGGCCAGGGCTCTGGTGTCCAGAACATCTCCACGAGCTCTCTCTGCCACCTCCCTGCCTCACCCGCACCTGCCCCCCACCAAGCCTTCCCACAGATTGTCCACAGATTCCCACCAGCCCCACAGATTCTCATACTTCCAGTCACTCCTCCTTCTGCTCCCTAACCTCCAACAGGCCCTGCTGACAGTAACAGTTGGCAGTTTCTGTTTTTTTTTTTGAGATGGAGTCTCGCTCTGTCGCCCAGGCTGGAGTGCAATGGCGCGATCCTGGCTCACTGCAACCTCCACCTCCCGGGTTCAAGCGATTCTCCTGCCTTAGCCTTCAGAGTAGCTAGGATTACCGGCACACACCACCACGCCCGGCTAATTTTTGTATTTTTAGTAGAGATAGGGTTTCACCATGTTGGGCAGACTGGTGTCAAACTCCTGACCTCAGATGACCTGTCCACCTCGTCCTTCCAAAGTGTTGGGATTACAGGCATGAGCCATCGTGCCCTGCTGGTTGTCAACTATTTTTTTCTGCCTCCTGACTCTGCGGAAGACCCAGTGTCTCCCAGGAACAGTCTCATCACACATACAAATTCTTTCTTTTTTTCTTTTTTATTGAGACGGGGTCTGGCTATTGTTGCCCAGGCTGGTCTCAAATTCCTGGGCTAAATGATCCTCCCGCCTCGGCCTCCCTAAGTGCTGGGATTACAGGCGTGATTCTTTTTTTTTTTTTTGAGACGAATTCTCGCTCTGTTGCCCAGGCTGGAGTGCAGTGGCGTGATCTTGGCTCACTGCAAGCTCCGCCTCCTGGGTTCACGCCATTCTCCTGCCTCAGCCTCCCGAGTAGCTGGGACTACAGACGCTCGCCACCACTCTTGGCTAATTTTTTGTATTTTGTTTAGTAGAGACGGGGTTTCACTGTGTTAGCCAGGATGGTCTTGATCTCCTGACCTTGTGATCCATGCACCTCGGCCTCCCAAAGTGCTGGGATTACAGGCGTGAGGCACCACACCTGGCCTACAGGCGTGATTCTTAAAGTGCAGGGTGAGGACACCTTCCCATTTGGAATATAATGGAGGATGGTAAGAAAGTCTGTGTATTTTGACACCCAGCAACCTCTACCCCACTTGCCTGCAGGACACAGCTTAGTGTCCTCTGTCTGCATTTTGGTGTATTTATTTATTTATTTATCTATTTATTATTTTATGAGACAGAGTCTCGCTCTGTCCCCCAGGCTGGAATGCAGTGGCGTGATCTCGGCTCACTGCAAGCTCCGCCTCCTGGGTTCACACCATTCTTCTGCCTCAGCCTCCCTAGTAGCTGGGACTACAGGCGCCCGCCACTACGCCTGGCTAATTTTTTTTTTATTTTTTAGTAGAGACGGGGTTTCACTGTGTTAGCCAGGATGGTTTCTATCTCCTGACGTTGTGATCCACCCACCTCGGCCTCCCGAAGTGCTGGGATTACAGGCGTGAGCCACTGCGCGCGGCCTTTCTTTATTTATTTTGAGAGAAGTCTCGCTCTGTCGCCCAAGCTGGAGTGCAATGGCACAATCTCGGCTCACTGCAACTTCTGCCTCCTGGGTTCAAGCGATTCTCCTGCCTCAGCCTCCCAAGTAGCTAGGACTACAGGCATGCACCACCATGCCTGGCTAATTTTTGTATTTTTCGTAGAGATGGGGTTTCACTATGTTGGCCAGCCTGGTCTCGAATTCCTGACCTTGTGATCTGCCTGCCTTGGCCTTCCAAAGTGCTGGGATTACAGGAGTAAGCCACTGTGCCTGGCCCTGGTGTCTTTATTTTTTTGAGACGGAGTCTTGCTCTGTTGCCCAGGCTGGAATGCAGTGGCACAATCTCAGCTCACTGCAATCTCTGCCTCTCAGGTTCAAGTGATTTTTCTGCCTCAGCCTTCTGAGTAGCTGGGATTACAGGTGCGCACCAACACACCCAGCTAATTTGTGTATTTTTAGTAGAGACAGTGGGGTTTCACCATGTTGGCCAGGTTGGTCTCGAACTCCTGACCTCAGATGATTCACCTGCTTCAGCCTCCCAAAGTGTTGGGATTACAGGTGTGAGCCACTACGCCAGCCTAATTTTTATTTTTATTTTATTTTTTTTTATTTTTTTAGACGGTCTCGCTCTGTCGCCTGGCTGGAGTGCAGTGCCGGATCTCAGCTCCTGCAAGCTCCGCCTCCCGGTTCCCCTCCTGCCTCCCTCCCGAGTAGCGGGACTACAGGCGCCGCCACCGGCCCGGCTAATTTTTTGTATTTTTAGAGAGGGGTTTCACCGTGTTAACCAGGATGGTCTCGATCTCCTGACTCGTGATCCGCCCATCTCGGTCTCCCAAAGTGCTGGGATTACAGGCTTGAGCCACCGCGCCCGGCCTAATTTTTATTTTTAATGTAATTTTTACAGTCTCTCTCTGTCACCCAGGCTGGAGTGCAGTGGCACAATCGGAGTTCACTCTAACTTCTGAGCTCAAGGGAGCCTCCCACCTCAGCCTCCCGAGTTGCTAGGATTATTAGTGTGTGCCACCATGCCCTGCTTTTTTTTTTTTTTCTGTAGAGGCGTATGCCACTACATTTGGCTATTTTTAAATCTTTTTTCTAGAGACAGTCTTGCTTTGTTACCCAGGCTGGTCTCAAACTCCTGGGCCCACGCAGTCCTTCAGCCACGGTTTCCCAAAGTACTGGGATTACAGACATGCACCACCATGCCTGGCTAATTTTTTATTGTTAGTAGAGATAGGGTTTCTCTATGTTGGTCAGGCCGGTCTTGAACTACTGACCTCAGGTGATCTGCCCGCCTCAGCCTCCCAAAATGCTGGAATTATAGGCATGAGCCACTGTGCCTGGCCACCACTTTTTTTTTTTCTTTTTAGAGATGGGATCTTGCTGTTTTGCCCAGGCTGGAATAGTGGCACGATTGTAGCTCACTGCAGCCTCCAATTCCTGGGCTTAAGCAATCCTCTCACCTCAGCCTCCTGAGTAGCTGGGACTACAGACATGCACTACCACATTTGGGTAGGAGTAGTTCTTGAGGCCTCCTCTCTCCTTCCATCTTCTTTTTCACCAATTTAATCTTTTTTTTTTTCCTTATACTTTAAATTCTAGAGTATATGTGCACAACGTGCAGGTTTGTTACATATGTATACATGCCCCATGTTGGTGTGCTGCACCCATTAACTCGTCATTTACATTAGGTATATCTCCTAATGCTATTCCTCCCCCTTCCCCCCACCCCACAGTCCCCTTCCTGTATCCAAGTGTTCTCATTGTTCAGTTCCCACCTATGAGTGAGAACATGTGGTGTTTGGTTTTCTGTCCTTGTGATAGTTTGCTCAGAATGATGGTTTGCAGCTTCATCCATGTCCCCACAAAGGACATGAAGTCATCCTTTTTTATGGCTGCATAGTATTCCATGGTGTATATGTGCCACATTTTCTTAAGCCAGTCTATAATTGATGGACATTTCTGCATCTAATCCTTTATCTGGTTCTGTTGATTTTTTTTTTTTTTTTTTTTTTTTTTTAGACATAGTCTTGCTCGGTTGCCAGGCTGGAGTGCAGTGGTGTGATCTCAGCTCACTGCAACCTCTGCCTCCCAGGTTCAAGTGATTCTCCTGCCTCAGCCTCCTGAGTAGCTGGGACCACAGGCATGTGCCACCACACCCAGCTAATTTTTTGTATTTTTAGTAGAGATGGGGTTTCACTATGTTGACCAGGATGGTCTCCATCTCTTGACCTCGTGATCCACCCGCGTTGGCCTCCCAAAGTGCTGGGATTACAGGCGTGAGCCACTGCACCCCACTGGTTCTGTTTATTTTGATCCCCTAAATAGCTGTGATTGCTTTTTAAAATTTATTTATTTATTTATTTATTTATTTATTTATTTATTTAGAGACAGAGTCTCACTCTGTTGTCCAGGCTGGAGTGCAGTGGCAAAATGGCGGCTCACGGCAACCTCTACCACCCGGGTTCAAGTGATTCTCTCATGCCTCAGCCTCCCAAGTAACTGGGATTGCAGGCGTGTGCCACCACACCCGGCTAATTTTAGTATTTTTAGTAGAGCTGGGGTTTCACCATGTTGGCCAGGCTGGTCTCGAACTCCTGACCTCAGGTAATCTGCTTGCCTCTGCTTCCCAAAGTGCTGGGATTACAGGCGTGAGCCACCACACCCGGCCTAATTTTTAATTTTATTTTAATTGTATTATTACTTTTTGAGACAGGGTCTCACTCTGTTGCCCATTTTTATTGTATTATTATTTTTTGAGACAGAATCTCACTCTGTTGTCGAGGCTGGAGTGCAGTGGTGCAGTATTAGCCACTGCAACCTCAACTTCCTGGGCGCAGGTGATCCTTCCACCACAGTCTCCCCGATAGCTGGGACCTTGCTACCTTGTGCCACCTTGCCCAACTAAATTTTGTATTTTTGGTAGAGATGGGGTTTCGCCATATATCCTAGGCTGGTCTCAAACTCCTGGGCTCAAGTGATCCTCCGGCCTCAGCCTCCCAAAGTGCTAGGATTACAGTCCTGAGCCACCTGGCCCGGCCAAGCTCTGATTTCCATCCAGCACCCTCCATCTCTAGGGCCCCCTCTCTCGTCTGCCTTGCTGCCTCCTCCTGGACTTGTCCATTTTGGCTCCTCCAGACAGTTCCCTCCCTGGTCATCAGCATGATCTTTTAACAACATAAAATATGCTTCTATGTTCATCTATTTTTCTTCTTTTGTACATTTTCCTATTTTTCTGTGTTCTGGGCTCATTGCCCCAGGGGATGCGTAAGACTGGACCTAAGAGTGGAAAAGCTGGTTTATGTGTTTCAAAAGCTGAAGCCCTTCAGGGAAGGGAATGCCTTAGCAGAGACAGTATCTTGGCCAAGAATGGAAGGAAGGTCTGCCACCTGCTTCTTGGCAGGGTCCCCAGAGAAGAATG